GGAGGGTTTTCTGTTCCAAAAGTTCGCCAACTTCACAGCTTTCTCAAACATATCTCAAAATCCAAAAAACAATTTAAAAAACAAACAACATTATTGTGGTTAGCTGTGTGATTCTCGGGAAAGTAGTCGAGTACGGTTGACATTGAAGAAACCAAGGACAGGCCGAGGCGTGAGCCACGGACTTTTGAAGACTGCGTGAGTAGCGGTCGAGGCGCAGCGCAGAGAGTTGCGACGAGTCAGTGCAAGTTGGATCGCTACATGAGGTGGGTGTGTGTAGTAAAACCGTATGCATGACTTCAGCGTAGCAGAAGTTTGGGAAATTAAAACATGATGCCTTGTCTTGGTCTTGGCAACGTTGTTGCCATAGAGACTAGATCTAGATCTAGATCTATAGATACTAAGATAGATCTAAAAGAAAACATAATTACATATAGATCTAGACTATATACCGCTAACTTAGAAAATTACAGTCTAGATCTATAGTCTATATCTGCTCAGTACCTAGATCTAGACCTAGAATCTAGATCTAGATCTAGATCTAGTTTTGAAAAATATGACGTGAAGAATTTCAAGTTTCACAAAATGTCAAGGATTTTCGAATAGCCTAGATCTAGATCTAGATCTAGGCCTAGTGTTTTGACAGAGCAGGTAGAGCATTTGGTTTTTCATGTCATGGTCTTAGTAACTCAAAAGGACCCAAAATGTAAAGTGTGGAAAATGAGAACTTAATTGTGTAGGTAGGCCTTCACTTATTTTATTATAGCAAAATAGATTCAGCTTCACAATGCTATAAATAAATCAACAACCACAAGTGCACAACATCGGGCATCAATCTATTGACTACCGAAACAAAACGGTGCTGACCATAGCGTAAACAATATTTCATTTCAGTTGTTTAGATCTCTAGATTAGATGTAGATCTAATCTAGATATCTAGATATCTAGATCTAGAGGCGTAACTAATAGGCCTGCCTAGATCTAGATCTAGTCTAGATATCTAGATCTAGATATAGATCTAGATTCTAGAATCTAAGTCTAATACTAGATCTAGATCTAATATCTAGATCTAGAGAATCTAGATTCTAGATCTAGTAATACTTCATCGATCCGTCAGCAGTTAGGGCCTACCCGGCTTCGAACGTCGAAGCTTCTTCCTTTGATGTGTACATCTAGAATCTAGATCTAATGATGTTTGGCATATTCCAGATCAGATTCTTCCCTAAAGTCTTTAGTACAGCCAAAGCCAGAATGTGGACTCAGCTGATAAAGTGATAGCAAACTGTCAACAATGAATTTTAAATTGCAGCGCGTCATCGAACTTTGAAAATGGGTTGGTCACTTCGAAACCAAAGAATTAATTTAAGATCTTACTCTTCTAGATTTTAGATCTAGATTTCTAGATTTCTAGATCTTTTAGATCTCGATCTATACAATTTGTAATTTCGTCTAGATGGTGAGGTTCCGGGAAAATTCATGAAGCTATAGCACACTTGGAGGTTGAAATAATTTTAATTACGAAAATGTAAATTGAAAAGAAAAAAAGCGAATAATAAAAAAGTGAAAACAAGGGACATAACAATGAAAAAAATGAAAAGAAAAAAAGCGAATAGTAGACCGCCAAAAACAAGGGACATAACAATGAAATTAAGAAATGGCAGCCTGCTAGTTATTCCCCTTTACGGGACCAACTACGTCATCGTTCTTTGTCTACGCACCTACGTCATCATTCGATGAGTACACCTATATCAACAACGTCAGCGTTCTTTGTGTAGATACTACGTCACCATTCAATGAGTACACATATACGTCATCATTCAATGAGTACACATACACGTCATCGCTCTTTGTGTAAACACTACGCCATTTTCCATTGTGTACACATAAAATCTTACAAAAGCTTGATTTGTTTGTATCGTTTCGCTAAAAGCACGTGGGCTAGCAGAGCAGTAATTATCACACCTAAAATATTATATTAGAGAATGAAAGACTTGTAAACTTGTTTTGCATTGGAAATTACCTTCTTCTGTCTGTATAACGTAATATGTTTTTTTAATAAATTATTTTTTTTTTCGTGCGTATTTCCGGCACAAGCAAAGATCTTACACTAATTAGTTCTTTATTTTGCGGAAGTGGTGTCACCCATATAAACGGAAGTGATGCCACTCACTCTAAGACATAGACTTAAGGCGCGTGAAAAGCGCGGATCAACAGACAAATTAGTAGCCAACTTTTCGAGACAGAATGGTGGTTTTTAGAATGCCAGAGCTAGTGGGAAGCAGGATGGGGGTTCAGAGATTGTACATGTAAATGGGGGCACGCCGGCCATGACAATAAGAGTAAGAAAGTACCCATAATGGCCATTGTGGGAGTGAATTTAGAAGATCTAGAATCTAGATCTAGTATCTAGATAACTTGGTGCTTTTTCGGTAGTTCTCAACTGCGGGGAGGGAACTAGGCCTACCGAAAAAGCTCCGATATCTTGATTGCTAGATCTAGATCTAAATCTAGATTCTTCTATAGATTCTCTATCTAGATTCTAGATCTAGATCTAGATATTAGATATCTAGAGTTTAGATATCTAGAGTTTATATCTAAAGATAGATTCTATGGGCTATTACCTTGGCTATCTAGAATCTAAAGATCACTAGATTCTGGATAGACTATCTAGATCTAGATTCTAGATCTTCTAAATTCCCTCCCACAATGGCCCTCATGAAAACAGACGGGACCGCAATTGTACAGGAGTGCCTCTAGATCCAGATCTTCCAAAACATCTTGTTCTGGATCAGCAGAGCTCTTCAGCACGCTAATTTGTACGTTTCTGACCGAAATTCAGAAAGGGTGGAGGGTTTTCTGTTCCAAAAGTTCGCCAACTGCACAGCTTTCTCAAACATATTACATTGCTCATATGACCTTAGCAGTTGCGAGCGCCGTAAAACCTTATACTATACTATACTAAACATACTATATCAAAATTGAAAAAACAATTTTAAAAAACAAACAACATTATGTCCCACATCAATCTAATTATTGGAGTGACTGATACATTTATTTAGCGCCAGCGCTAATCGCAAAGCGGCGTCGCAAATAGGCAGTTCCTTTTTTAAAAAATCAAAATGCCCCCCCAAATTTTACTCTAGATCTAGATTCTAGACCTACAAGAACATAATTAGATCTAGGGCTGGCTTGACAGTACTTGAATTCTACGACTTCAGCGTAGCAGAAGTTTGGGAAATTAAAACATGATGCCTTGTCTTGGCCTTGGCAACGTTGTTGCCATAGTATAGAGACTAGATCTAAATCTATAGATACTAAGATAGATCTAAAATACAACATAATTACATATATATATATACCGCTAACTTAGAAAATTACAATCTATAGTCTATATCTGCTCAGTACCTAGACCTAGAATCTACATCTAGTTTTGAGAAATATGACGTGAAGAATTTCAAGTTTCACAAAATGTCAAGGATTTTGGAATAGCCTAGATCTAGATCTAGATTTAGATCTAGGCCTAGTGATTTTAAAGAGCAGGTAGAGCATTTGGTTTTTGTCATAGCCGGCGTGTCCCCATTTACATGTACAATCTCTGAACCCCCATCCTGCTTCCCACTAGCTCTAGCATTCTAAAAACCACCATTCTGTCTCGAAAAGTTGGCTACTATTTCGTCTGTTGATCCGCGCTTTTCACGCGCCTTAAGTCTATGTCTTAGAGTGGGTGGCATCACTTCCGTTTATATGGGTGACACTACTTCCGCAAAATGAAGTATTAATTAGTGTAAGATCTTTGCTTGTGCCGGAAATACGCACGAAAAAAAAAATTTATTAAAAAAACATATTACGTTATACAGACAGAAGAAGGTAATTTCCAATGCAAAACAAGTTTACAAGTCTTTCATTCTCTAATACAATATTATTTTAGGCATGATAATTACTGCTCTGCTAACCCACGTGCTTTTAGCGAAACGATACAAACAAATCAAGCTTTTGTAAGATTTTATGTGTACACAGTGGCCAATGACGTAGTGTTTACACAAAGAGCGATGACGTGTGTGTGTACTCATTGAATGATGACGTATATGTGTACTCATTGAATGGTGACGTAGTATCTACACAAAGAACGCTGACGTTGTTGATATAGGTGTACTCATCGAATGATGACGTAGGTGCGTAGACAAAGAACGATGACGTAGTTGGTCCCGTAAAGGGGAATAACTAGCAGGCTGCCATTTCTTAATTTCATTGTTATGTCCCTTGTTTTTGGCGGTCTAATATTCGCTTTTTTCTTTTCAATTTTTTCATTGTTATGCCCCTTGTTTTCACGTTTTATTATTCGCTTTTTTTCTTTTCAATTTATATTTTCGTAATTAAAATTATTTCAACCTCCAAGCGCTATAGCTTCATGAATTTTCCCGTAACCTCACCATCTAGACGAAATTACAAATTGTATAGATCGAGATCTAGAAGATCTAGATCTAGATCTAGATCTAGATCTAGATCTAGAGTAAGATCTTAAACTAATTCTTTGGTTTCGAAGTGACCAACCCATTTTCAAAGTTTGATGACGCGCTGCAATTTAAAATTCTTTGTTGACAGTTTGCTATCACTTTATCAGCTGAGTCCACATTCTGGCTTTGGCTGTACTAAAGACTTTAGGGAAGAATCTGATCTGGAATAAGCCAAACATCATTAGATCTAGATCTAGATCTAGATCTAGATTCTAGATGTACACATCAAAGGAAGAAGCTTCGACGTTCGAAGCCGGGTAGGCCCTAACTGCTGACGGATCGGTGAAGTATTACTAGATCTAGATCTAGATCTAGATCTAGATTCTAGAATCTAGATCTAGATCTAGATCATTTTAATTCAATAAAGATTTAGATCTAGATCTAGATCTAGATCTTGATTCTAGATCTAGATCTAGATCTAGGTCTAAATAAGAAACACATAAAAATTACTACAGGGGGTAGATCGAGTGTGATTTAGTGCAAAGCAAACGGGACTGCAATTGTACAGGAGTGCCGATCGCCGATCACATGTGTGTGCGGATCTAGATCTAGGAGCCATGTTGGTGACCAGGGTAAAATAGTAAAAGACGTTTTGGCAGTTTTACAAGCTTCATACATCGCATGTCTTTTTTCGTCACCTCCTTCATGTTTTTTTTCTGACTGTTCTTTGGCTTAGATCTAGGATCTAGGGCATCGTAGATCTAGAATCTAGATCTAGATCTATTTGTTTGCTAATTTCGTAATCAACACCCAAACATTCTCTCTCTCTCCCTCCCTCTCTCTCTCCGGCCGACCAACAACACACCTTAACCCAAACCCTAACATGAACCCTTACCCTGACCCAAATCGTAACCCTAACCCTAGGTCTAACCCTTACCCTAACCCTAACTCTTGTATAGTTTGCTCAGTGGACCTTGTCGTGGTAAGTGCCGGCCCTCCGCGGAACTCCTCCCTGAAAATGTAGTTTTCTGAATACAGGGTCAGGGTGTCTTTTAAAAAAAGAGGACCCCATTAAAATAACTCGGTCATCTAGACATTATAATTTCAATAAAACTTCGAACAAATAAAATTCTGATGCTCTCGTGGTCTAGAGGTTACGGTGTTCTCCTCTCATTCAATACGTCCCACATTCGAAACCTGACAGCGACAGAAATTTTCTAAGTTTTTTCTAAAATCTTTTTCCTTTCCCCTCCTTTGACCTGCTCTCTAACCATGTTCTGTCGTCTGTTTTCGTCATCACTTTTGCCCCCCCCCCCTAATTCCCCCTCCTCTGGGCTCCTGCACTCTTTTTGTTACCTTTCTACTGCTTCTTGCTCCTTCCTACTGCTGTCTTTCAGCCATACCTGCGATCTTATGTCTTATGGTAGGTATAAAGATCAAAGACACGGTCAACTCGGATAAGGGAGAAAAATCTCAAAGATCCCATGTTGTTTAAGTTTTACACTTTAAAGATCCCTTGATGGTCCAATATCGATAAGAGTAGGCTTCGGCCACCACCTGGGCAAAATTCAAAATTAATAATTCCTATCAAACTGAAAATGTTTAATGTAGGGACGTCAAATCTGTAAATATAATACAGGAAGAAAATCATGGTTTGTCATACATTGACTCCTGTAACGTACCCATGGTTTAATTTTTTTTTTCCAAGTTTTGTTGAAACCAGTCAAAAGATGACCGAGTTAAACAGCCCTTTAAATGGGCCCTCGCTTTTTTTAGACACCTGTTACTATCTCTCTGTTGCAAAAATGATAATGATTAGATTAAAATGTGTTAAATATACTGAGATAGATTTATACAATAAACAAACCTGATGATGGTTACCTAATGTTTCTCTTTATGACATGGTTTTTATTGTTTCATTACAGTGGGGAGATATTTGCTCACAAGACAAACGTGTGTGCCTCAGTGACAGAGACCTGGTCTATCTCCTGGACACGAGGAGAGAGCAAAGGTCAACCAGAAACTGGAGGAGGGTGAGGAACCGGGAAACAGAATTTTTACTGAAACGACAGACTTTAGCGAGACATAAAGGGAAAAAAAGACAAACTACAGTGGAGTCCGCTGAAACCAAACACGGTTCATCCGATAATCAAATGGCGGTAAACTTTTATAAAATAATATCTCTGATTTTTTTCTTCAGTTGAACCAGATATCAGGCTGAAGTCTCATCACTACGAATGACAAAGTACAGAGAGCTATTTTAGGAGCTGTTATGCTGATGACGAGGGACGTTCTAAACTATCTATGCATAAGATGTTATGGGTGTGATCTATCAGGGGGAACTAGGCTCCTTGAAAACCTGTCTTCCTGTCATTGCCGCATTGTTGGTGTTTGTTTATTTACATGTTTTTGCTGTGATAATAGATTGATATAGTTGGTGTAACACACAATTCTATACTGGAAATACTATTTGAAATAGAGTCATGCCTTTTAAGGCTCATTGAGAAAGTTGACTTCAGATGGATGTCTCTATAAAACTAATAAAATTAGGACCATAGGCCTACTTTTGATTATTTCTGATGTGAGGAAATTGCATTCTCTGTCCCCAGCTGTTTCCATCTGTACTTTCTACCTGTGCTGAAAGTGGCTTGAAAGAGCATCAAAACTGGTCCCTCACACCGGTGGAGCAACTGGCTGTTGCTATGGAGAGAAGCTTTCTACGTAAAACATCATCTTTTTCCGAGTTGAACATTCCAAAGTAAACCATGGTCTTGTTCTTGTTTAGTGTGTGTTTGTGTGTGTGTACTTAATCATAGTGAGTGTGTGTGTGTGTGTGTGTGTGTGTGTGTGTGTGTGTGTGTGTGTGTGTGTATGTCATTGTAGTTGTGTCTGTTACCATAGCTAGCTGTTGACTGTGAATTTATTGAATACATAAAAATGTATGTAGAAGGTTTGGAGGGGGGTTACTTGGCCAGTACTTACTTGGCCAGTACCCACCATCTTGACCCACCTTGTGGGTAGAGTCTGTTTCTTGTTTTGAAAAGTTGGCAGCTTTGTAAATGGAGAGTCGTGGCTTGTGACTGCGATGTGTGTGTCCTTTAAATCATCCTTCTTTTTTTCAATTTTTGTTCTTTCTTGAAAACAGAATTCCTGCTGGCCCAGCCACTGGAAGTGACGGTGTTTCTGAAAACTTGCACAATGGGCGTGGTAAGGAAGTGAAATTTCTTTTTGTGCCATTAGGAAAAGGTTAAAGGGATGAAATCCCTAAAATTATTTCAATCAGGATTGATGTAATATTTTTTATGTCCCTTTAATATGTTGTGTCCCTCTTCTCATCTGTGACCACTCACACAATGTTCTTGTCCCGGCCGCCCTTCAACACAGTGGTCCAGTGGTCGACTTTTCTTTATCTTCTCCCTCTACACCTATGTTGACTCATTCCATACATTACCGACGTCTGTGCTCTCATGGTTCTGTTCTTTGCCGCAGATTCTATCTATTCTATCAGGCCACCTTGTGAACGAGTTTTAGCTGGTAACGTCAAAGGTTCTCTATATACACGATCTTTGGTAGCGTTCCACAATGATTTTTAACGTACATTTGGTGGCCTTAGAAAACCTCTGATATGTCACCTTGTTCAATATCGAGCACCAGGCGGAAAATAATAAATTTCCAACCAATGGAAATTTTTTAAATAAAAACAATGCCAAGCAGTATTCATTATCATTCTTTCAAAATCTACAAGATTTTATCAAAATAATGTTTTGAAATGTTAATTTAGATAACATATATATTTAGGTTCTCGCTCAATAAATTAGAAATTTTCATGTCAATTTTTAATTAAAGTTTTGTCTTTTGTAAGCTCGTTATCTTGAAAATTTTGTACAACAAAAAACAGATAGAGCTTAAAGAAAGTGAAAATTGGACAGAGTGGAAAGTTACAGATCAGAAAATGCTCCTTGCTTCAGAAAGTGATTTTCCCATTTCCCTCTTGGTTTCCCTTT